AAATATATATAAACGATAATACAAATTTTCAACAGGTTTTCTCACCATTAACAGCACCCATGGAGTCAACTTTAGAAGATTTTTATCAGGCGAGTTATAAATTCTGTTCAATTTGTTATTTTGGAAAATCTTCCTTACCTGCCTATTTATAATAGAAACTGGGCTGCCAATCACTCAGCTCGTGTGTTAGAGAGAGTATTCAGCCAAAAGGCCAGGTGATGACTTCAAGACAGTCTGTCGACTTGAAAAAAGTGATAAATCAGCGAGCACAACTCTTTTATCATGATGTTCATAGATCCGATATCAAAAAACCGGTAAAATGGATTCAAGAGCTGAAAGTCATGGAAATTGAACGGATTGATGCTACTTATGTACTTGTCACCACCAATGAAACGAAGGTCGAGCAAATATCTTCTTGTATAGTAGAGGATGCACGGAATAAGTCTTGGACTTTATATGTTACACCTGGTGAACCTGATTATCTAGATATTGCTTCACACTTGGGACAAAATATATTTAAGAAATCAAAATGGAAAGATATCTCACATTTGGCCATGCTTTTGACAACTCCGTTGTTAAGTTTGAAGCGTAAAGGGTATCCCGTTGATCGTATACTGGCAAGTTACAAAATACCAGTTCGCGTTGCTGATAAATCCTCACCGCCGAAATCCTCACCGCGATTAGTAGAAAAAACTAGTTCCTCGACTTCGCCTGTGGAAATTGAAAAACTCGTTAAACAACTGCAAGACACGTACCCAGATTGTGATCCGGCTTTCATTCGTCAACTTCTCGCCAAAGAAAAATTTGATTTGAATAAGGTAGCTAACAATTTAGCAGATACCAATTATCCAAAAATTTCGAAAACTCCTCTTCATGGTTCTAACAATAACGATGGTGATGATGGGTCAAAGAATAATGTATGGAATTTATTTGAAAAGATGAAATCTATTTCAAACTATGTTACCTCACCGAACGGTGTTAGCGGTCAGGTTCCTGTTCAACCTCAGCAGGTGGTTGAGTCAAAATCTTCGGTCGGTGAATTACCGCCCATTACCAAACCAATTGAAGTTAATCCTAAGACCACCAAAAATCTGCACAATGCGCTTCGTGAAGCGGTCAAATCAAGCCGTTCGAATTCGGGAAGTGTCATTGATAGTCAGGCAACGGTGAATGTTGTTACTGAAAGTCAGACAAGCTATTGTGACGTTTTGCCAGGTAGTTAGAAGCAATGTTTCACTAAATGAATTAATTAGAGATAAAAATGAAAATGGTGTATAAAAAGATATTTTTTTTAATCCTTGCTAGGTCATTCTCTTATCTGCATTGGCATAAACAACGGAATTGAGCTATATATCGCTAAAGGCTTAGATCCATCTGAAATTAATAGCGGGGCGAGATCCAAGTCCTTAACTCGATTTGTTAATATTCTCAGGGATCTTTGTGAGGTGTTTGAACTTCAACCGAAGGCAGTTCATATCTTCTATGATAACAACTCAAATTCAATTGCTTTCAACCGGGGAAGAGCTTTATTCTTCAACTTTAGGTTTTACCTTGGGTTACACAACGATGAGGATAGCGACGTTACATCCAGCGAAACTTTCACCTATTGGTACATGACGTTTTGTCACGAGCTAGCGCATAATTTTATCGCACCACATAATTCGGAACACGAAGTGAGTTTTTTTTTTTCACTTCATTAATAGCAAACTTGTAAACATTCATCATTTTTATTTTCTCTTTTTATTAGTACTACTTTTCTTCCTTCGCCGAGTCTTATATGTCAAGTTTTCTAATTAAAATGAAAAAACTTGGGATTATTTAATTTTACGTATCGTAACGAAGATCTCAGAGCATTTTATAGGTGTTGGATTCAAATTAATTGAAATTTTGTAGTCAATTAAAAATTGATTGCGACCTTAATGGTATAATTTTTACTAGTTCGCTTATCTCACATTTATTTTACCAAAGTTAGATCAAACTTTTAAAATTTAGATGTTATAATTAGATTAGAATATTTCAATGGCTAAAATTGAGGGGATAGGAACCTATTTTTTTCAGAAATTTAATGATATTTTAAATGATCACAATAGATGCATTAATAATTACTACCGTATATAATATAAAATTTTAATTCCCGTGTAGATTTTCATAAAATAAATCCAAAGTGCATTTGCACATTTCATTTTCATAGTATGCAGAAACCTGATGTCTATTTTTATACACCTCAGCTGCCAAAGTTTCTAACTTTAACCGGTTTGACAGCATTAGAACCCTTCAATCTTGGTTTTTTCGTTAACACATTTCCGTTAACTTTCACTTCACTCGTGTTTGTGTCGAGGATTTTTGTAGTAGAATCATCAACACTATCTAGAGATTTTGATTTCTTGGGCGCGATGTAAGTCTCGTGAATTTTACGCTATTATAAAAGAGAATTGCTTAAGATTGAAGAAATTGAAGTGCACGAGTGTAGAAGTGGATTTGAAATAAATGACGTACCCTCTCTTCATTCAGCTTCTTTTTCTTTTCTTCAAGTTTTCTTTTACGTATTAAACTTTTGTTACCGCCACCCCCAGCCGTCAATTCTACTCTTATCTACAAAAAAATGTGTCAGGCCCACACTTATATCTAATATCACCAATAAAATTACCTGTTTATTCTTGAGCTTTGTGTGATGAAACCTTAGCGCTCTTTTCATTGCCTGCGGATTATCAAATTCTACGAAAGCATAACCTTTTAATCTTCTTGATTTCTTATCGGTAATAAGTCGAACAGATATAGGGGTACCTAATTATTTTCAACAAGCTGTGAATGAAAACTTATTCTGAATTAATTCGTGAGTGAAGATCATGATATAGAATCTAAACTGTTTTTGAATAAGCTACCAGCCGACTCGAAATGCTTTGACAATTCTTCTTTTTTTATATCAAGAGGCAAGTTTGCTTTTTTTTTTTTAAAAAAAAAATGAAATTTAGATTCGAAAATTATGCGTAAGTGAAATATCACAAATAATGAGATTCTCTTTTTACCAACGAAAACAATAAACCGTGTCGTAGGTTTTTTATGAGGTTTCTTCTTGGATAAAGGTGAAGACTTCTTGTTATCAGGTTTTATTATTATATCGCAATCGTCTACTTTTTCCGCGATCGTTTTGTTCTCTTCTTCTATGAGTTCTCTATCCATCACCTCTTCACCCAAGTTTTCCTCTTCTCTGTCATCATTTGCTTCTTCGCTTCTATCATTAGCATTTGGTTTAATTTCTTGCTTTTGTCTTTTATTTTCACGAAAAGAAAGGGTTTTTTGTTGACGTTTCGTTAATTTTTTTGCGTCGATTAGAGTCGAAGACATTGATGAGCACAGGAGGAAGATCCAAAGAGATATGGTTTTGATCGTCGAAAATTCCTTGATAAATCACGTGGTTACGATCAAAAAAATATTTTTTCGATCGTAATTAATGATCGGAACTATTTTTAGAAAATGGATAACTGTTGGTCGTTTCATTTCTGATTTCCCTGCATGTACTCATACTCAACAGAGACAAGACTTTTTTTTTATGGCGAATCACGCATCAAATTTTAAGAGGATTCCATGCCGTACACATCTTTAGGACATATAAACAAATATTCTATACGCCGCACATCATTGAATTAACTTTCGCGCGTCTCTTCTCTTTAAGCTTTTTGTTAATTCGAATAATCAAAACAATTGAGAACTTTGCCCAATTAAATTTTGCCACGGAGACAACAAAAAAAAAAAAAATCTATATATAGTATTGATTCCCAAGAGATATCACTGCTGCATGATCAAACGAAGACCCGAGATATCATGGAATATAGACTAGGTAAAGAAGAGTCAATATACTCTGACGTGAGGAATCGAAAAGCGAAGCAAGAATACAGGGAATATGATTCATCGGAGAACGATATTGGAGAGAACCTGAAAGGAAAAAAAGTAAAGAAATCCTTTTTGAGGATTTCTACTAGAGACATGTACTATCTCTGTGGACTCATCGTTGTTGCCATAGCCGTAAGAGCATATAAACTAGAACAACCTAGCTCAGTAGTGTGAGTCCCTGGTTTCTGATGCTTTATCAAGTGATCACTATCAGGCTAATCCTAATCCAAATAGATTCGATGAGGTTCATTTCGGCGGCTTTGCCAGGTGCGAATTAATTCTATGTATTTTTTTTAATTCAAATTGTCATTTTCTAATTAACTTATGCATGATTTCTTAGGAAATATATTAAAGGTCAATTTTTCATGGACGTGCATCCACCACTAGCAAAGATGCTATTCGCACTTGCTGGTGTATTGGGTGGTTTTGACGGAAACTTTGATTTTAAAGAGATTGGGAAGTAAGTGGATTGTGATTCTTTGCGAAATGACGAGTGTCATACCATTACCACTAATTTCTGGCTTTTTACTTAGAGATTATCTTGAGCCAAAGGTCCCATATATAACGATGCGTTTGTTTCCCGCAATTACGGGAATATTCGTTATACCAATAAGCTATATGACCATTAAATTAGCCGGATTTTCAACCATCTCTGCCTTTATGGTAGCAACTTTATTGATATTTGGTAATATTCTTATTCTCATCACCATTTTCGATGTCTGAATTTCTTTAAATGCATATTAATTGTAACTTATGAGATTTTTTTTTTTTTTTTTTAATATAAAAAAAAGAAAATGGATTGGTAACCCAGAGCAGATTGATCTTGTTGGACTCACCGCTGATCGCCTCCACTGCCTTCACCGTTCTGATGTGGGTAAAATTTCAAAATGAACAAAAGAGGTATGGTATGATTTATTGATTTTCATCATCTCAAGAAAATATTTATTCCTTCTCTTTGTGACAACACTTTTTTCCACGATTATGTAAAAATTGTAGACCATTTAGATTTTGGTGGTGGGTTTGGATGGCAATGACAGGAGTTGGGCTCGGGCTGACTGTTAGGTATGTTCTAATAACGCGTTATCTAAACGGCTAACTTAAACTTATGTGTTCTAATCGGTTTTTTTTTTCAATAGCATGAAGTGGGTGGGTCTTTTTACAATTGCCTTTGTTGGTTTATCAACAATCAAGGGATTATGGGAATTACTTGGTGATGTAAACGTGAAACCGGTGAGTTTGGGTTAGACAATTATATATTTGTATACCTTTACGTATTTCTAACATCATCAATTTTGTAGTATGAATGGGCGAAACATTTCTTTGCTCGTGCCTTATGTCTAATAGTAATACCTGTTTCCTTATACATGTTCTTCTTTGTGATTCATTTTGCGATTCTGCAAAATGGTGGTGACGGTGAAGGCTTCATGAGCGCGGAATTTAAAATGACTCTAAATGGTTACAGCCAGAAAGATACACCTATAGGTATTTTTAATAATAATGATAATTTAAATTTATTACCGTTTTCTAAAGATGTCAGTCTTTTCTTTTTGACATCTTGCAGATGTAGCCTTTGGATCGGCAGTAACAATCAAACATCTCAATACTCACGGCGGATACTTACATTCCCACTCGCACAACTATCCGACCGGGAGCAAACGTGAGGAAAAAATTGTTTATATTAACACTCAAATTTCATCATATAACCAAATTGGTTTATTTATTAGAGCAACAGGTTACATTGTACCCACATATAGATGAAAATAACCTGTGGTTTATCGACAATCACACCAGTCCCGAGATTCCTTTTAATGAATCAAGTCCTAAGTGGATTACTCATAATACCATAATTCGTTTAAACCATATTGCAACTAATAGGAGGTTACATAGTCACAATGTTAGACCCCCAATGACAGATGAAGATTATCATAATGAAGTAAGGTGAGTTGAAAAAAATTATTAACTTCATTGTAGGTATTTTAACTAAACATTTAACATAATTTTTGTTTTTGTTTTTTCATCAGTGCTTACGGATACGAGGGCTTTGGTGGTGATGCCAATGATCACTGGGGAGTAGAAATTTACGATCATGATAAGTCTGATCCTGAGTCGGGTAAAAGACTTCGAGCGATTAACACAAAGTTTAGGCTCCGCCATATGATGACTGGATGTTATCTTTTTTCGACCAGCATAAAATTACCCGAATGGGGTTTTGAGCAACAACAAGTTTCATGCATCCATGATGGAACTATCCCAAACACCCTATGGTATATTGAGAGTAATTCCAATCCGAGCTGTGAGTGTTTGTTTTTTTAACGCTCTTGAAATCGAATAACTATTATATTTTCTGTGCAATCTTATAAATACTATTTTTTTTTTTTTTTTATAAACAGTGCCAAATGATACTGAATTGGTGAATTACAAAAAACCAGGATTCTTTAAAAAGTTCCTTGAACTTAACAAGGTTATGTGGAATATAAATAAAGGGCTAACTGATTCTCACCCTTTCGAGTCTCGTCCCAACGACTGGGTCGTATTGAATCGTGGTATTAGTTTCTGGCAGAAAGACCGCCGTCAAATTTATTTAATTGGAAATCCTCTGATTTGGTGGTCATCTTCCATGGCTATTATACTGTTCCTCGCCCTAAAGGCTATCATTATTATAAGGTCCAAGAGAGGATATTCGGACCACTTGAACGGTAAGAAATTTGTTGGATATAAATTATTTATTTATAGTCATTACATGATCTCTCTCAATTTAGTCGATAAAGAACACTTCGAATCTTGGGCCGGCTTATTTTTCATGGGATGGTGCTTGCATTATTTTCCTTTTTATTTGATGGCTCGTCAATTGTTCTTACATCATTATTTCCCATCACTATACTTTGCAATACTCCTAATTGGCGTAGGCTTTGACTTATTCACATTTAGACTTTCACGTTACCAAAAAATATTTGTTGCTACAATAATTATATTTTCATCGATAATAGTTTTTTATTGGCTTTCACCACTAGCATATGGTAATCCATGGATAAAATCTGACTGTAAAAGCATGAAATGGGTAGATACCTGGGATTTTGACTGTACTTCTAATTTTGATACTTATGAAGAATATTACAAGAGTGCGCCTGTTACAGAAGAAGAGTCGTCAACCTCTAAGAAAGAACTTGATGATGACATTAGAAATGACAATGATACTGAAGATGATGATGAACTGTCTGAAAAAGTAAATAAAGATGTATTCATTGAACATCCAACACCAAGAGAGGAAATTGGCGGTCAAGCGGTGTTGAATCCGGACGCGGAAGAAGAAGAGATTCCAAGAGACGAAGATGTATCAACCAATTTGGTCACAGAATTCACAGAATTTAAGTTAAGACACAAAAATGACGATGCTACAAAAGTCGATTTAGCCAGTGACAAGATTGAGAAATCAGTTCAGCCGGACACACCGGTGGAGTCTCATCCGAGTCATGAAGAAAGTGAAAAAGAGGACATAGTTTCTTCAGAAAAGGTCTCCGATCCCCCCATAGTTTCTGGGCCAGATCATGAAAATTTTTCAAAAGCAGAGAATGAAGAGAAAGATGAGGACTCAACGAAGAATGTTTAATCAATAATGAAGGGGGACTTAAATATGCGGGATGGGAATGTACTCGTTTCTAATATTGGGGTTATTATTCTATAACTGTTTACAATTTTATTTATTTCATTAATGAAACACCGACATAATAAAAAATATCAAAATTCGAAATAATCAAAGGTTCGTTAGTTTTTCAAATTACAATAGCAAACTATGAATCTAGGAAATTTTTCGAAAGCGCGCACTCATTTGCTAAGACATTTTGTTTTTAATATTTTTTAAAATAGAAAAATTGAAGTAACATTTATCTATTTTACTAATTACGAGGAATAATGTTTAAAGCATAATAAAAAACTTTTTTTAAAATATACAATATAAGTTTATATGATATATACTGCATACAGTGGCATCGAAGGCACTGCAATAACACAAATATCGTAAATTCGTAAATTAACCTTAATTTCTTTATATAATCGTTTTCTTTGTGCTTTGAAAAATTTGCACGCTTAACAAAAAACATTTAAAAATTAAACAATGAGATATAGTACGCGACTTTGTCATTTCAGACAGTACCTCATTAATCTATAAAAATGATGTCTTGTGATATATCCTTTTTTAAAAAACTTTGGTTTATTTGTTAGCCGAAAAAAGTGTACAAATTTGTTCTCATTTTTGATGAAGAATACTCATCCCGATATACTGCTTATTGTGAAAATATTTGATTATCTGAATTAAGGATTATAACAATTTGATTTAATTTGATTCTCAATTCTCAAGTTTATATTAAATTTAATATGTGGGTTATAATCCATCATTATTTTTAATAATGTTTTGAACCTCATGTGAGTCTATACAAGTCTGTTTGATTCCAATTTTTGGGATCATAATTTGAATCAAGCAATGTAATAAGAAAATAGTATCTTTAAAATTTGGATGTTCTAGATTTTCAACTAACTGATTATTATAATGAAAAAATTTATAACACAATAAAACAGATGAATGTACAATGCTATTGCTATTCAAAAAAAGTTAAAATCTGAGAAAGAAATAAAGTATAATAAAATGATTATGTCTCAAATTAACATAAAATCTTATTTTAAAAACATATTTAAAATTTTCAAAAAAATATTACTTTTGAATAATTAAGAATTGAAATGGTTTAATAAATCAAAATATATGATTCTTGGTTTAAATAATTATAAATACTATTGAAATAAAATAAAAGTTATATTAAATTGATATATGGATCCATAGCATAGTGATAATGCTTCATAAGTCATTAGAAAAAAATTTAAAGTTCAAACTTATCTGGTTACAAAAATTTATCACCTTTATGATTGGTTAACTAGTTTTCAATTCATATTGAATCCAATTAACCAAAAATTAATCTTTAAATTTAATTAAACTATATAAAGATAAGACTTTTGATCTTTTCAACAATTACAAACTAAAAATATATCAAAGCAAGAAAGGTTGCATAAGAAAAAACTTCTGATTTAACTTCTATATTAGAAAATTTTTTTGATGGAGATCTCCAAAGATGTCTACTCAAAAAAATTTTTAATATAAAATTTTTTAAAATAAGAAACTCTAGAAATTTTTATTTTAAAAAAATTTAAAAATTTTTAAAGTAATAATAATTATATTAAAATAAATAATTATTTAATAAATATAAAAAAAACTCTTTCCCACAACTTTTCAATTTGTAAAAAATTTCCTTTTTTGATAATGACATGAATGGTAAACAGTAAATAGTAAGCGAAAACCTTTTCCTGGGAGAGGTGTTCATCTTAGCTTTCTGCAGGGTACAAGGGGTCAATTAACTCTCCATAGAGGAGTGAATGCTTTGGGAATAGCAAAAACCTTTTCAATTAAACTCTTTGCTTTACTGAATAAAACCTATGTAAGCAATCTCCAAACAAAGGAAAACCTTTTTACCATATTCACATACATTACTACATATCACATCACAAAAACATACACAAAACCAAACACAATCTTTTTTCAAGAGACAGCATTTTATTTTTTCAAAGTTTTTGTTTTCTGCTAATGATAACTAGTGTCAGGTTAATTGGCATAACTTTCTGATTAGTTGTCAATCCTCGTCAATCTCCACACACAAAAAAAACTGAAATCAGCTTATCCCCACCAAAAGATCTGCAACATATAAAACACCAATGACATTCCGTATCATCAAAATTACATCAAAACAATACAACAACTTACCGGATTGGGAGAGCACATGATCAGTATCCTGTGTGGATTCCGGTAATTACAATACACAACAACCTACCATAACAAAACAACCAACATCTGGAACATATTTCAGTTATCCCACTATAACACTACAACACAGCCACATCATATAACAACAACATATCACAAAAATCATCTAATCAAACCCATCGAGTTATATGTGGCTTATGCGATGCTGTCATCTTACTGAAACATCTATTTGCATTCAGGAATCACATTTAACAAAAGTTTCAATGTTTTTCTGAATCTTTTCTTTTCTACTTTTTTTTTTTACTAAATGGCAATCTTGCCCCAAATGTTTTTTTATTTTTTTATTTTTCTTAGTAAATAGTTCCTTTCTTTTTTTGTCTGCTCAAGGTTTTTTGGAAATATATCTACTACAATAGGTGGTAGACCAATATGTATAGCCATATATCTCATATCTTAATATTGATCATATAACATTACATATTTACTCTATCAATAAAGATCATGAGAAGTGTCTCACCTTAACATCAAAAAAAAAAAAACTTTTAGATTTAATTAAATATTATTTTATAACCAATTAAATTTTAATTAGATAATCAGGGTATTTATTTGTAAAGTTTGATTGACAACTGAAGTGTTGTCTTATGATTTAATATGTGAATTTAAGGAATAGTGTACTAGTTGCAACTGGCTGAATAGTGTTTCTAAGCTGGTATGTTCTTGTAAAAGAGAATGATTTGAATTTTTTGATTGTATTTTTACTATTATACTCTTGAGAACTTTATTTTTTAATTGTTTATTTTCTATAATAAATTTTTGAAGTGAATTGTAAAATCTAAGAATTTATTTAGCAGTTGAAAGAATTTCTCTTTAAGAATAGAATTTGTTATCAAATATTTTGAATTCTATTTAAAAGACCAATAAGATTATATGTTTTTTGTTAATGGTGTCCTTTTTGAAGTATATACTTATTTTACATTGAATTTGAAGGGGGTTAGCTGATTATGATTTTTATAGACTGAGAATATATATAATAAAATTTTCTCTAGGAAGATAGTAAGGTTATGTGATTTATCAAATGATATCTGACCTTTCTTGAGTTTCTGCAATATCTAGAGGTACACACCTGGCTATAGTGTTGGCAGGAATACTGGCTTCCCAAGACTTTATTATAAATCAGATTTTATGTTTTTACAAAAAAAAGATAAATTAAAAGATGTTCACTTGTGTTGTCTATAAATTATTAAAGTTGGTGTTGTTTGATATGTTTGCAATATTATACATTACAATAGTAATGTTTCTTGAAGATTTGAAGAGCTTTGATATTGATAAAGTTTTTTTTCACCTAATTAGAAAGTTTTTTATAATATATATTATTTAAATTATATATTAAATTAAGTTATAATTTTATTAAATGATTCTTTAAAATTAAATTCTTTTACTTTATATATTATAGATAATTAATTAGCTATTAAAATTTTTATAAAGTATTTATATACAGTGCAAAGTATCAATCTACAAATCAAAAGAAAAAAATACATTGGAATTATAAATATTTATTTCTTAACAAAAAACAGACAGAATAAGAAAAAGGTTAACAATAACTGAACAACATAGGAGAATCTCAAAAGATATAAAAAAAATTGATATACAATAGTCTTGGGAGACTTAAACTTAGTTACAAATTCACAATTGAATCTAAGACCATCAACCAATAAGAAACAGCACAGATTATAACTTTATTGAGTACTACAGAACATTTAAGCCACTCAATTCAGGTTTTACATAGCAAATTTAAGGAGTACAATATTGAGACTAGACTATATCCAAATATCAAATTACAATAGCTGGCACTCCATCAAAGCAAAAATCAGTTTAGAAGCCATGGTGATAGGCACTAATTATGCTATAGTCCAAGTTACAATTATCTTCTACAAAATCTTTCTCAATATCAAACAAACACTTATATATTAAATAATGATAATCAGAATAACTTTACAGAAATTATGCATCCAACAAACTCTGAAACATTATTTATTACAACACCTTTCTAAAATAAAAGTCAAAAAAAACAACCAGAAAGTAAAAAGACAAAGATCAATAGCCCACAGGAAGAAAGTATCATTGAGATTAGAAAACTATATAGCAAGAGAAAACAATACTTTAAATATAACAACAGGAGTCCTGAACTAATCACAAGCATCTGGAAATCCTATCACTGATTAATCAGAATACACAATAACCCCTTGATAAAAACTATATTACCATTCAATTTCAGCAAAAACCTGGCTCAAAGAAGTAAACAAGGTGGTTCAAGAAAAAGTCTAAAAGGACAAGAAAATTAATTCATTTCTCAATATATAAAAAGAAAGTAATGTTATCTATTTTTTAAAAAGAATTAAACAATATTATCTTTGATAAACTTAACATGTAGGAAGATTTATTCTGAGTAATCACATATCCTGCAGAAATTAAATAAGCAGTAGTAAAATACTTTAGACAATCTCTAATCAAACAATTTTATTTTAAACAAATGGAAGAAAGAGTTTCTTTCAAAATAAGAAATTAATGAAGAATAATATTAAAAAGATCATAGCTACAATAATTAAAGAAATAAAAAAATTGAGCAAAATTAATATCAAGAAAGTTTCAAATTAATTATATAATTCTTAAACACCTGGATACAAAAAGAGTGAAAAGAAATTCATATTAAATGGCAATATAACCTAATATACAGTATCTCATTTTAAAGAGTGCATATTGGCAATACAACCTCAGCTTCACTAGGTTCATATAGATATAATTTG